AGAGAGAGAGATACAAGTGACATGAAAACACAAGGTGGCATTATCTGGGGCAATAAAGGAACCAGCCAGAGGAGGGAGAGGCAAGGGTGTGGGGAGGACAGTAGGGAAAGGAGATAATTTAGAACAAAGTATAATGACACATGTATGAAAATACTGCAACAGAACTACTTATTCTGTACACTAACACAAACTGTAAAAATCCTAGATTGAAAAAAAACAAACCCCACAGTGCTGACTGTGAGTGAATCAAGTAGGTCTGAGAAATCAAGGCTTTTGGATAAGGAGGCTCAAGATAGCAGAATTCCCAGAAGTGAGGGGGTGTTAAACAAGTTGGCTAAGTGTACTGATCATCTTGTGCTTCTATCTACAAAATGGGGGGACTCTGCTATCCCAAGATTAATACAAGAATTACAATATTTTCTATAAATTGCTTAGTCTTCATAAAGTGATTGACAATTATGTGGATTTACAATGGAAATATTTAAAAAGTTTGCCAGGGACCATAATGGACATGGCGGAGAGAGAAAACTGACTCCCACAAGTTGTCCTCTGATCTCCACATGTGTGCCATGGCACGAGCACGTCCATACACAGACACACCATAAAGAAGTAAATGTAATTTAAAAATAAGCAAATAAATATTTTGCCAATGTGCTGGCACACATGTAATCTCAGCATTCAGGACGTTAAAACAGGAGGCTTATGAATTCCAGGACAGCAGCAGCTATATTATAAGGTGCTGTCTCAAATACCATTAAAAAAAGAGATAATATTTACCACACCAGGTGTTGTTCCAAGGCAGGAGAGCAAACATTTTAGATTCTCTGATGTAAGCAAGACTACTTAACTCTACTACTTGTGTATCAGAGACAGGAGACACCAAAAATACTGGAATGTGGGCTAGAGAGATGGCTTAGCAGTTGATAATATACTGCTCTTACTATCTAAGAATGAGGACCTGAGTTTGGATCCCCAGACCCCATCTAAAAAGACAAGCTCAGTGGTCCACACCTGTAATCCCAGCACTGGGGAGGCAGAGACAGGTGGATCATTTGGGAACTCACCAGCCAGTCTTAGCTTAAGTGGTGAGCTCCAGAAAAATAGGGTGGGGTGGGGAATCTTAATAAAACACTTTCCATCTTCCCATTAATAAAACAAAAACACATCTCAAAAGAGGGGGGCAGCTATTGGGCAAACACCCTGTTGACCACCTTTGTCTTCCATACACACACACACACACACACACACACACACACACACAAACTTTGTTTTTAGAGGAACAGGACTGAGAATGTGAATGTAGTTCAGTTGGTGGAGAGCTTACCTAGCCTGTACAGCGCCCTGAATTAGACCTCCAGCACTCATAAAGCTGGGTGTAGTGATGGGACAGTGGGGCCAGTGTGGGCTACAAGAGACCCTGTTTCAAAACAAAACAAAACAAAACAAAACAAACAGGCAGGCTGGATTTGGCTACAGGTCAGTTTGTAAACCCTTTTCCAGAGCAGTACTCTTCCTTTTCCAGGGCAGTACTATTCCACAGAAAGACATTTCAAGCCACAAAAAAATAATTTAAAAATGTCTAATAGTCATGTTAAAAAAATAGTGAAATTGTAATCATTTTACTTAGTCCAGTATATCGAAAGCTATTTTTCTTTTTTTAAAAAAATGTGGTGCTGGGGATCAAACTCGGGGCCTTATGCATACTAAGGCATGTGGTTTACTCCCAGGCACACGGAAACCGCTCCTCCCCCAAAATACTGTCCTTTGAACATGTAACGGATGTAAATAAACAGCTATTTTTTGTTGAGACAGGGTCTTACTATATAGCCCTGGCTGACCTGGAAGTCACTATGTAGACGACGCTGGCTTTGACCACCTCTGCATCCCGAACCCTGGAATTAAAGGTGTGCGCCACCATGCCTGGCCACAAACACCTATTTTTTTAAAAAAAATTTTGGTATTATCAAAACTGTGCTGTGCTTTAACACAGCACATCTTAACTGAGATTAGTCACTTCGAATAACCAATCTGAATATTGCCACTTGTAGCTCAGTTCAGGAGGGCGTAATATGAAAAATGCTTACACACCCATTATTTCTAATGCATTGTATGGCCACATATAAAATATATACTATATAAAGTATGTATGTATGTGCATATGAAAGGTTTTAGAGTGTCAGCCCTAAATGATGTTGCCTGAACGCACATAAACACTTGTAAATGTGAATTACTACATACGGGTTAAGGTGCACACACATCTGCACCAAAATAGTCTAAAACGATAGGTAAGTTCACTGTGAAATCTTCCAAAATCTTAGGAAACAAAGTAGCAGTAACCTATCTATTTAGATCTTTTAATTATTCTTTAACAGCTAAAGGGGGAAAATGTACCTTTCTAGCCCTGGGCTACACCTAACAGGCCAGCCTCGCAGGGAGCTCAAGGGAGAAAATCGCCAAAAGCCAGCAGCGGCATGGCGCTTTGGAAAGATGCAGGAAGGGGAGCCCGCCAGGCTGGAGAGCTGAGGGTGGGTGGGGTCAAGCACTAAACAAAGCCCGCAACAGTTCACCCCCCGGGGGACGGGCCTGAGGCTTACGCACGAGCAACGGCGGCGCGCGGGTTCATCCCGCCCAGGCCACCACAGAGCCTCCAGGACCCGAGCCAGGCCGGAATTCTACTGGAAACCGAAGTGCATGCTGGCTGAGAGGTCGCTCCAACAGCGATGGCGAAGCATGGCGCACTGCAGAACGGGCTCTTCTGCATCCTCCGAGAACTTCCGGTTCCCAGGCCATTGACGTAATGCTCCGCCAATCTTGACCCTTTCACCCGAGGACGCAGACAGCGCGGGGGGGGGGGGGTGGATTTCGGCGCACGCGCGCAAAAGGAATAGCACCTGCGCGGACAGATCCGAAGCCCGAAAGGGCGGAGAGACAGCTGCTCTGCGGTTCCCTGTGGGAGGAGCTGTGCTGCTTCTCGGCAGCCGAAGTGAAACTAAAACCGGAGCTGTTTTTTTCCACCAACAGAGTGTTAACTCTTTTCTATCAAGACAGTGAAACAAAACAAAACAAACTAGTAACACTCAAAAGAACAACACTCAGACTGGCGGAGGGGACTCACGCTAGTATGCAAATGAAGAATGACATAAGATCTGAGGCAGGCTGGACTATACCTTTAAAAAGGGTGGGCGTCAAACATCCCCCCCACCCCCAAATGTAAAATAAACTTCATCAAGCCAGTAAAAAAATAGCTGGATGTGCTGAGCTCCCCCCCCCCCCCCCAAAAGAGGTTTTTAAAAAAACCCTCACCAAGCAGGATCTCTACAAGTTTGAGGACAGTCAGGGCCAGGGCTGCATAGTGAGACACTGTCTCAAAAAATCAAAAAGAAGGGAGGGGAAAAAAATAGGCAAGACATTGCTCAACCTGAGGGTGGCCTAATTATGGATATATTTAACAGTAATTAGTCCAACAAATATCTATTGCATGGTAGTATGCATCAGATGAATGAAAGTAGTAAACATTCATTAAGTAGTCACGAGCAACCAGAACTTCTCACCTGTGCACATTGTTTGCTTGCAACGATTCATTAAAACTACAGTGATGTTTGAAGAAGAGAATGTGGCAGTCTCTTTTGCTGACCTCCAATTCGAAAACAATTTGGGAACGAATTTAAGTGTCCAGTTTTCTGCATTGGATATTATCAGAAAGTACAGTGATTCTATGATTCATGTAGTAAATTTTGCCTAGATAGTAGGACAGGGATTACCCTACTATGCAGGTGCTTGATTACTTTCGTGGTTTAGACTCTACCTTGTTAGTATTAGGACTTATTTTTATTTACTTTGTTTTGTTTCAGTTCTCTTTGGTTTAGTTTGAGACAGAATCTCACTCTGTAGTCTACGTTGGCCTATAATTCACCATTTATGTACCCCAGCATGGCCTCGAACTCAAGACAATTGTGTTGCTCCCCAACTGCTCATTACAGGAGTGTGTCACTATGCCCAGCCTGGGAGTCTTGCTTTTGTCATGACCCATCATTCTCAGGAAGTAGCCCCTGCTGTTGATGCTCTGTGAAATTACTTATGTTCCACAGGAGGACACCAAGGTCGAGCTGTCAGTTCTCAGCTGGCTCAGAATTGTAAAGGGGTTGCTTTTCCTCTCTCTCTAGCCTTCAAACTATTACTAGGAAAAATGGTCTGAAATTGTGAATTTTAATGTGGAGCTGGGGAAATGGCTTAATTGGTAAAGTGCTGGCCACTGAAGCATGAAGACCTGAGTTCCGATCCCAAGAACCAACTCACCTAAAAATCCGGGTGTGGTAGCTTACGTGTAATCCTAGTACTGGGGAGTTGGAGCCAGGACGATTTCCAGGACTTGCTGGCTATCCGGATAAGTCTTGCCAAATTGGTGAGCTCCAGGTTCAATGAGAGAATCAGTGTTGGTAAATAAAGTGGAGAACGACTGAAGAAGATACCTGACATTAATCTCTGGTCTCCACACACACATGCATACTTGTGCACATGTACCAGCATACACATGCAAACACGCAAACATGCATGCACACAAAAACACAAAAATATTTTTAAAAGTAGTAAGACAGAAAGGGAATACTAGCTCCTCCTACTCTATAAAACCCACATCTTATTTCAATTTTTAAAATTTTCCTTTATTAGTGTTTGTGGGGGGGGTCCTGCATGTGCCATAGCACATGGTTGCTCTTGCAGAGGATCCAAGTTTGATTCCCAGCACCTATATGGCAGCTAACAACCATTCATAACTCCAGTTTCAGGGAAATCTGATATCCTCTTCTGACCTCTTGGGCCTTGCACAACTTGGATGCACTTACATACATGCAGGCAATACACTCATATACCTAAAATAAAAATAATAAATATTTTACTGCAATATAACTTAAGGATTTATGTTTTTATTTAATTAAAACATTTTAGCATCCTATGTGGATGAGGCTAGCCTTGAACTTGATATGTAGTTAAGGCTAGCTTTGAACTCCTGCCTCTGCCTCCCAAGTGCTGTGATTACAGGCTCATGCCACCACATCTGGCAAGGATTATATAATATGAAAGAAAAAATATACAGTAATACGGTATGGTAAAATGATAGAGTATGGTAATACAGACTTTATTCGTGATTGTCGTTATAAATACAGGGACCATGGCACTTGGGTCTTCTAGTAAGGGAGAAAGATTGCATTCCACTCCAAATACTGCACAGGGAAGAAGTAGGAACCTATAGCCATGGAGCAGGGTGAGAGTAGGTAGATGGGAAATTACCAGAACAAAACATCAAGGGTAAGGTGGATGCTAGTTAAACTAGTAGGATTCTTTCTGAAGAACGAGGTTGAGGGGTGAAGGGTGAGTAGTGGAAAATGAGGAACTGGATCACATACTGAGGAGGATCAGATATGGAGGGTGGGAAGCTCTTGCTAAATTGATGTACCAGGACTATTAAAACTGGGCTTTACAAGGAAGTGCATGGATAAGGCTTAGAAATTTCAGGAGCTTGACTCAGATTTGACTTACAAGCAATCTTTGTACTCTTTTGCCTTTTCAAAGAACAATTTGGGGGGCTGGAGAGATGGCTCATCAGTTAAGAGGACTGGTTGCTCTTGCAGAGGACCCAGGTTCAGCTCCTAGCACCTCCATGGTGGCAAACAACCATCCATAACTTCAGTTCCTCCAGGGGATTTGGCAACCTCTTCTGGTGTTGGTGAGCATTGTGTGCATGTGGTGTACTTACATACACACAAACAAAACATCCAGACACATAAAATTAAAAGTTAAAGAAGAGAACATTTTTATACAATTTAATTTTATTCAAAATTATTTGGACAAGTAATTATTCATGAATTAGTGCCCAGAACAAGAAAACCTCAGAGCACTTTGTGGGCAATATTTACAGATAATAGAAATGAATTACTGTGCAAAAATGGGTTGAGTGGTTGCAGCTCTAAATTTGCCTTATGTCTACAGAGTCTGATCAGTTGGAAGATTGTGATTGGGTGAGACTTAGCTATGTCTTATACTTGTGAGTTATGTTTGCAGTTTCTTTACATACTAGGTCAGGTTATAGTTCATTGTGTGGGAACTCAAAGCACAGAACCAGCTTTAGGCCTGTAGCCTCCTCTTTAATTTAAAATGTCTTGGGGCATTTCTCTTATTTTTCCATTGTTATTTTTTGGTTCATTTCCTGAGTACTCTTGCCACCTTTGGAAACATGCAAATAAAAAGAAGCAGCACTGGGTTGGTGGTGCAGTTCAGTTCAGTGGAGAGTGCTTGCCTAGCATGTGCAAGGCCTTGAGTCTAATCACTGCCACTGGAATAGTGAACGGAGCTCTCCAGAAAATCAGTCTTTGTTCTTTTTTCCTTTTTTAAAAAAGTTTTTGCATGAGCAGCTCTAGCTTTGTCGTGGAAAAAAATCTAAAGAATCCACAGCAGGTGTTGTAATTTGGCGTGGAGTAAGAGTACCAGGAAGCTATGGCATGGAAAGTACTTTGTGGCCGTGATCAGGGGAAGTGCAAGGGTTTACAGATTGGCACTCGAGAGCTGGAAGAGGTGCGAGCGAAATTTTGCATTGGTTTATTGCATTTGAAAAGATTGACTTCTCCATTGGAATATAATCTGCCCTCCAACTACTTGACTTTGGAAATGACTTATTTGAATCAAACTGTAAAGTAACTAGCCCTACCACTTATGTTTTGCATGTAGATGAACCTCGATTCCTTGAAGAAGTTGATTGCAGTGCAGAAAGTAATGATGAGTTAGATACTGAATCAGCTGAAAATGCAGGAGATTATGAACCTGCTCAAGAAGAAGCACTTTCTGACTCTGAGGTATCAAGAACGTACCTACCTTGACCCTTCTGCCGTTTTTTGTTAATTGCCAAGAAGAAATCTTGTTTTTTATTACACAGGAAACATGAGACTTTTAGACAACTGACTCAAAAAAGACAAAAAGTAACGGGTCTGTTTGGTTTCAAGACAATAAATGTATTGTTAATTCATGATACAATTGGCATTTGTTTTAGATATTCAATGTACTTTATATAGCGTTGAATTATCAAATGATGGATTTACTTTAAAGAAAACTACATAGCATTACATGAATTTTTACCTCCTATGGCACTTGCATCAAATGGATAATTTTGAAGTGTAACAGAATATAAATCTAAATTATAGAGTTATTGAAAGCTAATATATACGTACATGGATATCTTTGGATGCGTTTGTGTTAGAGGTTATTGAAGACTGTTCTTCAGAATCATGTGAGCTGTTGGATTGCGGTTAAAATAATCCAGAATTTGCCTTGAAAGCATCCCATTCTACATTTATCAGGTTAAATAAAAAACATTAAATATTGCAAAAAGAGTTTTTTTTTTAATGTTTATACAATACACTCATATTGCTTGCATGTACGTAAGTGCACTCGTGTTGTGTAAAGTCTGTGAAGGCCAGAAGACGGCATCAGATCCCCTGGAACTGGAGTTATGGACAGTTGTTCGCTGCCATACGGGTGCTGGGAATCAAACCCAGGTCCTCCGGAAGAACAGCAAGTGTTCTTAA